TCGTGATCTGCATTGGAAAGTCATCGACGGATTTACCGTTCTTAAAGCGGATCTCCGAGAGCTCCTTCTACAGCTGCTCGATGTTGGATTCCCACACTCATTGGACACCAACTCGATGGGATTTGATACCATCCCAGGCCGATTGTGCAGTGCGGTTAGTAGAGAGAGACACTAACATCTTTGGAGGCAAGACCGCAGTATGGCAGCGAATTCCAACCGTGTTGGATTTTATGTCCTAAAACTCATAGTTTGTAAACAAAAACATATTCTATTTTCAATAAAGTTATTATTGATGTTTATTCAGTAAAGATTGTTATTGAATAAAGTGAATTTTACGATCATTAATCTAAATCCAATAAACTAAGAATACTATGACTATAGTATGATTACTTGAACTATATGTAGAGACATAAGAGTGGATCAAGTTGAAGTATATAGTCAAAATGATCTATAGTATAGGGATAAGGCTGAGTACCTTATCCTGTGGACACTATGGATGCGGCCCACTTTTGTATGATACAAACAATCACTAAATTGTATATGTGGAGACATGTGAGTGGAGGCTGTTGGATGAAAGTGTCGCCACATTGATTAATTTAGGGAATGGTCATGGGTTTATAATCTAAGAATACACTCTCCATTGGTATAAGACTTTTTGGGGAAGCCCAAAGCAAAGTCATGAGAGCTTATGCTCAAAGTGGACAATATCATACCATTGTGGAGAGTCGTGTTCATCTAATAGGGGTGTCCTATGCAATGAGTATTGCTTAAGATCAGACCATGAAGAAAATCACTCACTTTAAAATGTCGTTTACTGTTGAGACTGATTTTTTCACTCGATGACCTAGGTAACTCGACCTAATCCTGAGCTAACTATGAACTTTTTTCTATTTATTCAGAATTATCCTTAGATTTGCATGGGTGAGAATGACCCGAGTTAGTTGCATGGGTGAGAATGACCCGAGTTCGCCAACTCAATAAACCTCCCATTTCAAGGGTAAGACTGGGTGAATAGTTGGGAACATAGGGTGCAAGATAAAATTCACTCCTACCCGCTTTTAGGGATAGTAGAGAGGTTGTTCCCTTAAGTACTGACTTCAAGTCTTGACAAGGGGCCCCACCCTCTCATTGGCCCGAGAGGGATTCACTTTGGTGGTTGGAGCACAAACCAAGATAAAATTCACTCCTACCCGCTTTTAGGGATAGTAGAGAGGTTGTTCCCTTAAGTACTGACTTCAAGTCTTGACAAGGGGCCCCACCCTCTCATTGGCCCGAGAGGGATTCACTTTGGTGGTTGGAGCACAAACCAAGATAAAATTCACTCCTACCCGCTTTTAGGGATAGTAGAGAGGTTGTTCCCTTAAGTACTGACTCCAGGTCTTGACAAGGGACCCCACCCTCTCATTGGCCCAAGAGGGATTCAGTTTGGTGGTTGGAGCACAAACCAAGATAAAATTCACTCCTACCCGCTTTTAGAGATAGTAGAGAGGTTGTTCCCTTAAGTACTGACTCCAAGTCTTGACAAGAGGCCCCACCCTCTCATTGGCTCGAGAGGGATTCGGTTTGGTGGTTGGAGCACAAACCAATTGTTCATTAGAGGATCAATGGGACTCAATAAGCCTCCCATTTCAAGGGTAAGACTGGGTGAATAGTTGGGAACATAGGGTGCAAGATAAAATTCACTCCTACCCGCTTTTAAGGATAGTAGAGAGGTTGTTCCCTTAAGTACTGACTCCAGATCTTGACAAGGGGCCCCACCCTCTCATTGGCCCGAGAGGGATTCGGTTTTGTTGTTGAAGAACAAACCAATTGTTCATTAGAGAATCAGTGGGACTCAATAAGCCTCCCATTTCAAGGGTAAGACTGGGTGAATAGTTGGGAACATAGGGTGCAAGATAAAATTCACTCCTACTCGCTTTTAGGGATAGTAGAGAGGTTGTTCCCTTAAGTACTGACTCCAGGTCTTGACAAGGGGCCCCACCCTCTCATTGGCCCGAGAGAGATTCAGTTTTGTTGTTGGAGCACAAACCAATTGTTTATGGCCCCACCCTCTCATTGGCCCGAGAGAGATTCAGTTTTGTTGTTGGAGCACAAACCAATTGTTTATTAGAGGATCAGTGGAACTTAAGGAACAAGAAATAACTTTAGGGGTAAAAACGGGAAATTCACCCAATTTGAGTAGAATGTTAGTGTCAAAATTTGGTAATCTCAAATTTGCATGAACATGCACATGTCATTCTATAAATAGAGTGATCAAGGTAAGAAAAGTCTTCTTGAAAAACTTTGAGAGATTCTCTCAAAACTCTCTCTTTACATATAGTAAATTTCTTTCAAATTTAGTCATTCACTAGATTCCACAATCCGGTTCTAAGGCTGGAGAATAGTAGTGAAGACCCTAATGGTGGTTCGAAACTGGTTCGTGAGGAAAAATGAATTTAAACTACAAAAGATTAGTATTCAAACTCATTGAGTTTTAGTGCTTTTGAATATGCTAGCTAATTTATTATAATTGATGTATATAGAGTGTCTAAGATCCAAATTGCTTCCGCATGTGTTATATTAACACCTTCAAACCGATCCTCCCGGTACTCGATCGTTTCTCCTTCCTTCGGCTCTACGGCGTGCCAGAACCCTAGCGCCTATAGGTTGACGTGCATCAACAAGACCCACTCATTGTAGTTGGACGTCGCCAACATCTGATACTGCATAGAGGCGGTCGTCTTCCTGATCACTCACTCGACGACAACTTGACATCCGTCTTTGCGGTGCTGGCCTCTTTGTGGTGGTGATGGAGACCTGTGTGTTGTTAGGTCGATGTTCTAACTAATTGAATCTACCAACTTGGCTTTTGATAAAGTCAGCTCCTCTACAATGATATACCACCTATGTATTAAATCAGGCTCTAATACCACTTATTGTTTTTGACTGAGCAAATCGGAGAAAATCGTTGACGAGGAAAAAAACCGAAGGAAAATCTTTGAAGAAGAAAATAAGTGAAAAATAAAAGGGATAGACAATATGCACTGAAGACTCGATATATGTTTGTCATTCAATTGGCATGTTTAAATAACAATATATCCTAAAAATAGAAAAAAAATGGCAACTAAATTAAAGCCCTACCACCTGATGATGTGGCTATTCCACTCACTTAATTTGTGTGACTTTAATTAAGAAATAGTGACCACTTTAACAAACTTTAATTAAACAATAGAGATTTATCTAACTATGGAGAGCTAAAGGAGACGGTCTATGTTCGACAACTACCAAGCTTTCTGGACAATGCCAACCCTGACAAGGTATTGCACCTGCACAAGGCATTCTATGGGCTTCGACAAGCACCACGAACCTGGAACACAAAGCTCAACAGTACCTTGTTGTCACTGAAGTTCAAGCACTATGCCTCTAAGCATGTACACGCATGACCACGACGACCAGTGACTTATCGTGGGAGTGTACGTCGACGACCTCATAATCACTGGAGGCGACATGGAAGTCCTTGGAAGATTCAAAAGGGAGATGTCAAAGAACTTCAAGATGAGCGATCTCGGCGTGCTCAGCTACTACCTCGGCATCGAAGTGCAACAGAGTACTACCGAAATCACCATTTGTCAAGGTGTGTACACAAAGAAGTTGCTGAACACAACTGGGCTTGCGGACAGTAACCCTACAAGGACGCCAATGAAGGCCCGACTTGTTGGCTTATTGGCCCTTGATCTCACATTAATTAATTTCAATGAATTAATTATTGATGTTTTGATGATAACAAACCTACTTTTAATTATTAACTATTTTCAGTTTTTTGAACTGTCCACAGTATAAGGTCGGGAATAACGATTACAACAACTTTTCAATTACTCAAATCAGAGCTAAAACGAAGAAATTAGAGTCGAGACAACATACCCGACGTGATGATGTGGCAACAAAATCAAAATGATGGACAAATCAAAATATATCAAAGTATGACATTTATAATATTGGAAGAGTAACACATGGTGGAGTTTTTCTTATTATTACATTTCTAAATAAAATTATTTTTACAAATATAAATTTGAATATAACCGTTACTCACATCGAATTTTATTATTACTATATTATATTATTATATTATTATATTTTAAAATTTTGGTAGTTACTCACATCATTTTTATTATTATTATATTATTATATTTATAATAAATTTTGAATTACATTTTACCGTTACTCACATAACTTTTTATTATTATTATATTATATTACTATTATATTAAAATTTTGAAATAAATGAATTTAGAAAATTTTCTTACTTAATTACTTTTAATCTCCACCTTCCATTATTCCTAACACAATCCAATGGTCAATATTCAATCCTACATTTTGCCACTTTTCTCCTCTATATAAACTCATCTTCCCCACATTTTTAAAATACACAACTTACATACATTCTTCAATCCTCATTTGTTCAAAGTCTCCATTGTTTATTGCTCTCTCCAAGCTTACAAGTTTATTTCTTTTCATCTTATTCTTGAGAGGGATTATTATTATATTGTGAGGAAATAGTTGTCAGTATCCCAAATTGTAAATCTACTCTTTGAGAGAGTTGTGGTGTGTTATTATCAAACTCAAATACTTGTATCGGTTTGATCCTGCGTCGTTGAAAGGATTGAGTTTGCTCTTGAACTCGTAAAAAGAGCGGTGTACCGGTTTGGCTCTGATCCGTGGAAAGAGTCGGAAAAGTTCTTTATTCAAATTCCCAAGAGGCGCTTGGGGAGTGGAGTAGGTCGAGTTTGACCGAACCACTATAAAACTACGGTGTCATTTTCTCTAACTCTTTCCTATTTAATTTCAAGATTATTATTATGTTTATTGCATGTTCTACTTGATTATTGTTTTGACTTGAATTATTTTGTTTTAGTAATTATCATCTTCTACTTATTTGTAAAAAGTTTTATCATTAGAAAAATTAATCAAGTTTAAACACTTTTATCGTTAAAACCCTATTCACCCCCCCTCTAGGGTTGCCATACCGATCCAACAATTGGTATCAGAGCAGGTTGCTCCTATAGATTTTTTATCTAAACTTTATTGTTCGAGCTTATGGCAAACCTACGTGTTAAAAATGGTTTTAGTGAAGGACAATCAACTTCTAGGCCACCTTATTTTGATGGAACAAATTATACATGTTGGAAAGCTAGGATGAAAATTTATTTGCAATCCGTTGATCATCAATTGTGGTTAAATGTTAGTAATGGTCCTTACATTCCAATAAAAATTGTTAATAATATTGAGGTGCCTAAATTAGAAAATGAATTTGATGAGCATGATATGAAAAAATGTTCTTTGAATGCTAGTGCTATCAATTGTCTGTATTGTGCCTTAAGTAATGATGAATTTAATAGAGTATGTATGTGTTCTTCGGCATATGAAATTTGGAAAACTCTTGAAGTAACTCATGAGGGAACCAATCAAGTTAAAGAAACAAAAATTAGCATGTTAGTTCATAATTATGAACTATTTAAAATGGAGGAAAATGAACCTATTGGTGATATGTTTACTAGATTTACTAATATTTTAAATGCTTTGAAAAATCTTGGAAAAGTATATTCTACCTCCGAAAATGTAAGAAAAATTCTTAGGTCTCTGCCTAAAAGTTGGGAGGCAAAAGTGACGGCGATTCAAGAAGCAAAGGATCTCACAAAGCTTCCTTTGGATGAACTCGTTGGTTCTCTCATGACACATGAGATTACCATGAACGGGCACATGGAAGAAGAATCCAAAAAGAAGAAAAGTATAGCCCTAAAATCCATCAAAGTTGACTCTGAAGATGAGGACGTCCTTGATGAAGATGATGTCGCCTACTTCACACGGAAGTATAAAAATTTTATTAAAAGGAAGAAACAATTAAAAAAACATTTCACAAATCAAAAAGAGTCAAAAGGTGAAAAGAGCAAAAACGATGAGGTAATATGTTATGAATGTAAAAAGCCGGGTCATATAAGAACGGATTGTCCTCTCCTCAAATCATCTAAGAAATCCAAGAAGAAAGCAATGAAGGCTACTTGGGATGATAGTGATGAAAGTGCAAGTGGAAGTGATGAAGAAGTTGCAAATTTTTGCTTCATGGCTCATAGTGACAAAGAGGATGAACAAGAAGATGAACAAGAAGATGAGGTAACTCTTGAATCTCTTTCTTATCATGAATTATTTAAACTTGTTGATGAGATGACAATTGATTTAGAAAAACTTAGTTCAAAGTATGTTGTGCTTAAAAAGAAATATAAGACTTCAATTATTGAAAATAAGTCTTTGCTAAATGAAATTTCTTGCTTGAAGGAGAAGGATCATAATATTGTTAAAATTGATGTACCTTGTGAAAAGCATGTATTTGATTGTGATGAGAAAAATGCATTAATTGATAAAGTCAAGACTCTTGAGCATGATTGTGGTGAAAAAGATAAATTAATTAAATTGCTCAAAGAGAATGAATCAAATAATTTGCAAGAACTTGGTAGGGCTAAGGAATCTATTAAAATGTTAACAATAGGTGCTCAAAAATTAGATAAAATACTTGAAGGAGGTAAGTCATATGGTGATAAAAGAGGATTAGGCTATATTGATGAATGTTCTACACCTTCAAGTTCTAAAACAATCTTTGTTAAAGCATCCCCTATCTTGCCTAAATCTAACACATGTAAATTTGTATCTAAGTATGATAAATCTAGATTTGTGCCTATATGTCATTATTGTGGTGTTGAAGGTCATATTAGACCTAAGTGCTTTAAATTGAAAAATTCTCAAAATATTCATTTAGGAAGAAAAGTTTCTCAAAATACAAAGTTTAACAATGTTTTAGAAAATAATTTTTCGAATAAAAATAGAATACACAAATTTAGTCCAAGAAATAAATTCTTGCATAATGTCGTTTGTTTCTCGTGTGGTAAGTTTGGACATAAAGATTATTCTTGTTACTTATCTAAATACAATGTCTTTAATATGAATGCAAATATGAAATGGATTCCTAAATTTGTGAATACTAACTTTCTAGGACCCAAACAAGTATGGGTACCAAAAGGTCAATTTTGAATATCTTTGTTTTTAGGTTTGTTTGAAAGCCTCCAAGAAAAATAAGTGGTACTTGGATAGTGGTTGCTCAAGACACATGACGGGTAATCCATCCAAGTTTGTCAATCTTTCCAAGAAGGATGGTGGCTTAGTAACCTTTGGTGATAACAAGAAGGGTAAAATAATTGGTAAGGGTACTATAGGTAATGACTCTTGTACTCTCATTAAAAATGTATTGTTAGTTGATGGTTTAAAGCATGACTTACTTAGCATTAGTCAATTATGTGATAAAGGTTTTAGAGTTGTATTTGATAAGAATAATTGCATAATTGAAAATGCTAGTGATAGAAAAGTTTTGTTTGTAGGAAATAGAGACGATAATGTGTATACTATTGATTTGAATGATTGTCCTACAAATGATAAATGTCTTTCGGTTTTGCTTGATAACTCTTGGCTATGGCATAGAAGACTAGGACATGCTAGTATGTACTTGATTTCAAATATTTCAAAAAATTCATTAGTGAGAGGTCTCCCTCAACTTAAATTTGAAAAAGATAAAATTTGTGACGCTTGTCAAATGGGTAAGCAAACTAAGTCTTCTTTCAAATCTAAAAATATGATTTCTACTACTAGACCTCTTCAACTACTCCATATAGACTTATTTGGCCCTTCTAAAATAGCTAGTTATGGAGGAAATTATTATGCTTTTGTGATAGTGGATGATTTTTCAAGATTTACTTGGGTTTTGATGATAAAACATAAGAATGATGTTTTGAAAAGATTTGCTAGTTTTGTAAAAAGAGTTCAAAATGAAAAAGGGTTTTTAATTACTAAAATTAGGAGTGACCATGGGGGAGAATTTAACAGTGTTGCCTTTGAAAAATTTTGTGAAGATAATGGTTTTTCTCATGACTTCTCCTCTCCAAGGACTCCTCAACAAAACGGTGTGGTTGAAAGGAAAAATCGTACTTTACAAGAATTTGCTAGATCAATGTTAAATGAGTATGATTTACCTAAATATTTTTGGGCGGAAGCCGTTAATACCGCTTGTTATATTTTAAATAGAGTTTTAATTAGACCTTCATTAAATAAAACTCCTTATGAACTCTGGCATAACAAAATTCCAAATGTTGGGTATTTCAAAGTTTTTGGTTGTAAATGTTTTATTTTGAACAACAAAGAAAAGCTTGGAAAGTTTGATTCAAAAACGGATATTGGTATTTTTCTTGGCTATTCATCTACTAGTAAAGCTTATAGAATTTTCAATAAGAGAACTTTAGTTATTGAAGAATCTATGCATGTGGTATTTGATGAATCTTGCAATAATATTTCTAATGAGTCTATTTGTAGTGATGATTTAGAAAGAAATTTTGGAGATTTACTCGTTAGTGACAACGGCAAAGAAATTGTTACGAGTAAAGAAGAGATGAGCTTAAAGGAAGAAGGTTCTTCATCAATGCCAAAAGAATGGAGGTATGCCTTGTCTCATCCCAAGGACTTGATTCTTGGTGATCTCGAACAAGGTGTGAAAACTCGCTCTTCTATTAATTTATTTAATAATCTTGCTTTTGTTTCTCAAATTGAACCAAAAAGTCTTAAGGATGCCGAAAATGATGAGTTTTGGATTTTAGCCATGCAAGAAGAGCTAAATCAATTTGAAAGGAACAAAGTTTGGGAATTAGTCCATAGGCCATCTAATACTTCTATTATTGGAACCAAATGGGTTTTTAGAAATAAAATGGATGAAAATGGGAATATCATTAGAAATAAAGCTAGGCTTGTAGCTCAAGGTTATTGTCAAGAGGAAGGCATAGATTATGAAGAAACTTTTGCACCCGTTGCTAGATTAGAAGCTATTAGAATGTTACTTGCTTTTGCTTCTTACAAAAATTTTGTATTATATCAAATGGATGTGAAAAGTGCATTTTTGAATGGTTATATTATGGAGGAAGTTTATGTAGAACAACCTCCCGGATTTGAAAATGTAGAATTTCCTCATCATGTCTATAAGTTGAAAAAGGCTCTTTATGGCTTAAAACAAGCTCCAAGAGCTTGGTATGATAGACTTAGTAATTTTCTTATTGGGAATGATTTTAAAATGGGCAAACTCGACACTACACTCTTTATTAAGATTAAAGAAAACGATATGCTATTAGTGCAAATATATGTGGATGATATCATATTTGGTTCTACTAATCCTTCTTTATGTGAAGAATTTTCTAAATGTATGCATAGTGAGTTTGAGATGAGTATGATGGGAGAACTCAGTTTCTTTCTTGGACTTCAAATCAAACAACTCAAGAATGGTATCTTCATCAATCAAGAGAAATACACTAAAGATTTGCTCAAAAGATTCAAGTTCAATGGAGGTAAGATTGCAAGAACTCCCATGAGCACATCCACTAAGCTTGACAAGGATGAAAAAGGTAAAAGTGTGGATATTAAAGCTTATCGAGGTATGATTGGATCTTTACTTTACTTGACCGCTAGTAGACCCGATATTATGTTTAGTGTATGTCTTTGTGCTAGATTTCAATCTTGTCCTAAGGAATCTCATTTACATGCCGTTAAGAGAATATTTAAATATTTGCTTAGAACTATTGATCTAGGATTGTGGTATCCTAGAAATGTTGAATTTAAATTGGTAGGATATTCTGATGCGGATTTTGCCGGAAGCTTACTTGATCGTAAAAGTACTAGTGGAACTTGTCAATTTCTTGGTAGTTCCTTAGTTTCTTGGTTTAGTAAAAAGCAAAATTCGGTTGCCTTATCTACTACCGAAGCGGAATATATTGCGGTTGCTAGTTGCTGTGCTCAAATTCTTTGGATGAAACAAACTCTTTGTGATTTTGGGTTAAAGTTTCATAGTGTGCCTATATTTTGTGATAATACAAGTGCTATTAATTTAACTAAAAATCCTATTCATCATTCTAGAACTAAACATATTGACATTAGACATCATTTTATTAGAGAGCATGTGCAAAATGGACATATTATTCTTGATTTTGTAAACTCTAATAATCAACTGGCCGATATTTTCTCCAAGCCATTGAATGAAGAAATTTTTTGCAAAAATAGGCTTGAGCTTGGTATTATTCGTTGTGATATATCTTGAATTTTATAATTTTTGAATGCATGTTTTTAGGGGGAGCCATTATGTCATTATTAAATGCATTCTCTTTCAATTGTTCATTTTGATGATTACAAAGGGGGAGAAAATTAAGAAAAATATGTTCTAAATTTGTTATTTTATAATTTATGAATCATTTACTTGGTGTTTCATAATTTCTTGAGGCATTAATATAAGGGAGAATATGCTCTTGAGTGAAATTTATGATAATATATTAGTATGTAGTGATATTATTACATGGATGTTGTATTATTGGTTTTTATGAATTTTTCTTTAAATGATTTGTCATCATCAAAAAGGGGGAGATTGTTGGCTTATTGGCCCTTGATCTCACATTAATTAATTTCAATGAATTAATTATTGATGTTTTGATGATAACAAACCTACTTTTAATTATTAACTATTTTCAGTTTTTTGAACTGTCCACAGTATAAGGTCGGGAATAACGATTACAACAACTTTTCAATTACTCAAATCAGAGCTAAAACGAAGAAATTAGAGTCGAGACAACATACCCGACGTGATGATGTGGCAACAAAATCAAAATGATGGACAAATCAAAATATATCAAAGTATGACATTTATAATATTGGAAGAGTAACACATGGTGGAGTTTTTCTTATTATTACATTTCTAAATAAAATTATTTTTACAAATATAAATTTGAATATAACCGTTACTC